TGGTGAGAGTCAGGTTTCTCAGCTGGCCCGGGGTGGGGCCATCGGGCTCTCCATGGGCATTTCCCTACTCGCCCCCCCACCATCCCTCCATGTATCCCACAGGGTTGAGCGACGGGAGTGGTCAAGGTTAAAGGCCAAGGTAGGTAGAGGAGGCCGTGAGCTTGGGTGGAAGAGTGGGGGGCGCGTGGGGCTGCACTCTTGACTGATCGCATGGCCTGCTCATTCTTCCTAGGATTGGGGCTCCAGCTCTGGATCACAGGGTACGTAGGGTCAGTTTGGGAAGACCTGAGGTGAGAGGGGCCCCGAGCCTCGCTTGAATCCTTGGGACGGCAGCACAGGGCCCCAGGTCCCCTGCCTCAGGGCCCCCTTGCCGACACCCTGCCTCCCACTAGGTCGAGAAGACTCGGTCCTGAGCTACGAGACGGTGACACAGATGGAAGGTGAGGTCTGGCTGTGCGACCTGGCCCAGCCCAGCCACCCCCGCCCCCTGCTCTGCTCCCCACCTGACCCCGCCCTCTCTCCTCAGTGCACTACGCTCGCCCCATCATCATCCTCGGGCCCACCAAGGACCGTGCCAATGATGATCTCCTCTCCGAGTTCCCCGACAAGTTTGGATCCTGTGTTCCCCGTGAGTGCCGGGGCCTTGGCATGGGTGGGGGGGCCCAAGCGTTCACACGGGCAGAGTCGCTTCCGGGCATTGGGATGCAGCCGGACACGGGGGTTCTCAGAGAAGGGTGCTCCTCAGCCACCCTCATGTTCCACGGTGACCTTTCCAGGCTGGGGACTCGGAGGACCCGGGGTTGCTGAGGAAGGCTCCCCAGCTGCCCCCTTCCCTGAAGGACTGGCTGGGCACTCTGCGGGGGTGGGGTCGCTGTAGGCAGGGTTTAAGCTAGAGGGATGGTGGTTAGAACCTTGGGTGGTGGGGTGACTTCCTGGCAGATACGACACGGCCCAAGCGGGAGTATGAGATGGATGGCCGGGATTACCACTTCGTGTCATCCCGGGAGAAAATGGAGAAGGACATCCAGGCGCACAAGTTCATCGAGGCCGGCCAGTACAACAGCCACCTGTATGGGACCAGCGTCCAGTCCGTGCGCGAGGTGGCCGAGCAGGTAGCAGCCGCGGCGCCGTCCTCCTGCCCGCCCCGCCGTGGCCGGCCTTTAGCTCCCTAACGCGCTCTCTCTCTGTCTCTTCCCTGCTGGGCCTCCACTCCGCTTCTGCACCTCCTGCTCCTCTTGGGCAACTCTGCCTGCCTGCTCTCTGGTGCCCCGCTCCCCCTGCCTCCCTCCCTCCCTTGGTCCCTGACCCCAAACTCTGCTCTGCCATCTGTCCCCTCTCTTCTCCTGCCCTCCTCCTTGCCCCATTTCACCTCGCTTCCTGCGGCCCTGCCCTTGGTGGCTCGGCCTCCCCCCACTCGGTCCCTCCCTTCTGCCGGCTCCCCTTTGGCCCTCTCCCCTCTCCCCTCCCACTCCTCTGCCACCACCTTCTCCCTGCCGCCCCCACCCTGCCCTCTCCCTCCGTGGCTCCTTTCTCCATCTGCCTCTCCTCCCTCCCATCTGTCTCTCCTTGTTCCTTCCATCTGTCTGTCCTCTGTCCGTCCTCCCCTCCCTCCTCCCTCTATCCTACTTCCTTTCTCCTTTTTCTTTGCTCCTCGCGACCCCCCCCCTTGCTCTGCCCCATCTTTTGGTTCCTCACACCTCCCTCTTTCCCCTCACTCCCTCCCTCCTGTGCTGACCCCTCCTTTGCCCTCCGTCTGCCCCTCGCCTTTTTCTCTTTCATTCTATCCATACCTTTCCTGCCTCAACTCTCTCTGTCCACGCGTCTTTCGACATCCATGTCATTTCCCTTTCGGCCAATCCCCCCGTTCCCTACCTTTCCATGAACTGTGTCCTGTCCTGGCACCTGTGTCCTTTCCCGCCACCTGGTCCGCCTCCACTCCCCCCCCTGCCCGCCCTCAGGGGAAGCACTGCATCCTCGATGTCTCGGCCAATGCCGTGCGGCGGCTGCAGGCGGCCCACCTGCACCCTATCGCCATCTTCATCCGCCCCCGCTCCCTGGAGAATGTGCTGTGAGTATGGTCCCGGGGGGCTTCCCCTCTGCTCGCCCACACCTGTGGCTCTGGGCCTCAGAAGGCCTCTGTGTTGAACTGTCCCCTCAGAACCCTAGACAGCAGCTCCGGCAGCCCTTGAGGGAAATCTGCACCTAGAGCTGGAACCCAGAGGATACCAGGACTCCCGGGCCTCTTTCCTTTTCTCCTGCCCCCGGGCTAGGCAGGACTACAACTCCCAGCAACCCCTGGGGGTACACACCTGCTAGGCCGAGCCAGGGCTTCGGGGCTGTCGGGAGTTAGGATCTTAATCCCATCACTGGGGCTGCCGGCTGGAAGGATGAGGCTCTGGAGAGGTCCCTGGAGTGGCCACACCGGGCTGGGGTGGGTCGTGGGGAGGCGGCCCCGTCTGTGGCCCCAGGGGATATTGGGAATTT